ACATTTAGATGCCAAGAAGCTCAGAAAGTAACCGACTGTGACTAGTAATAATCAGATATATAGAGATTAGAAATGCATGTGCAAACATCTAAGTGTTAATTGCATTAAAAATGAATTTTTCTGTATGAAACTGTGTATTTTAATAATGAAATAGAAATTTTTTTAAAGATTAAAACCTCAATTTTATGTCTTATAGGGTTTATACTGAGAAAAATATTGTATAATTATTAATTCAACTGTAAACCTAAAAATTTACAGCCAATTTTGAAAGAGATGCACCTTAGCTCTGGAAATTGTTATTGAATATGTCACTGCTGTTGTAATGAAACGCTTCTTCTAATTATATGGTTATTAAATAAATAAGTAAAAAAAAAGATTGAACTGAGAGATTGAGAAAAAATTAGTAGTCAATAAATATAACTATTAATGTAACATAATATTTAAAATTTGTTGGTTAATTGCTTCTAGGCATTTTCACTAAGACCAAGTGTAATAATTGACAAATATTTTACTAACATTGATATTTATGAGAATGACATAAAGCAACATACTGGTTATAAATTCAAAGTGCAGATAAAAAACATAGCTATTCATATACTTTTTTGCTTCTTTTTATATGTTTTTTTCTTGAAAATTGTCCTATTTCACAAAGTACTCATAACACGTATGATAATTAAGCAGTATGTACTATCCAATTCGTCCTATTCTTAAGAAATAGCTGGGCAGGTATGCCCTGTTGTTAGCCTTTTGGAAGATGGTAGAATTAAAAAACAACTGCTTCCAAACCCAGTGGCACAGGTCTGTAGTTCCAGCTAATCAGGAGACTGAGGCAGAAATATTAGAAACTTAAGGCCTGCCTGAGCTGCAAAGTTAGTTCAAGGCTGGCCTGGATAGTTAGTGAGACCCTATCTCAAAATAAAAAGTAAAAAGTCAGGGTGGGGTGGTGCAGGCCCTTAATTTCCAGCACTGGGATGCAGAGGCAGGCAGATCTCTGTGAGATGCAGGGAAACCTGTTCTACATAGCAAGTTCCAGGCCAACTGGCACTTCAGGGAGATCCTGTCTAAAAACCAAAACAACACAACACAACACAATAAAAAGAGGCTGGGTGTGGTGGAGCATACCTAGAATATGAATGCTTCCAAGCGTTCCAGGTCATTCTCTGCTACATAGCATTTTCAGAGTTCAAGACTATAGTGTGGCCACCCCGAGTTACATGTGATCTTGTCTTGAAAACAAGGATGTGGAGGGTGGGAAATATGGGAAGAATAAAAGAGGAAAGGGTAAGAAACAGAAAGAGTGTGAGGCTGTAGCTCATTGATGGAGTACTTGCCTAGCATGTTTAACTCTGACCACACATAAAAACACTGATTCACTGAATGATTCAAAATGTGTTGAAGTAGCTTTCACAGATGAACAGGAATAAGGAGGTAATTTATTAGGTATAATTCAGTAACATCAAATTTGTGAAAAATCTAATAAGTATTTTAGGACATTAAAAGGAAGAAAATGAAATTAGAGTTTGGAGTCTGAAGTTACTATAAAAATATGTTTTTGGTTTTGTGATCAGGCATATTAATTGGTCTTTTGTTAGTTGGGCTAACAAAGATTATAAATTGGAGTCCCCTTTTGGGCTTCT